GTTATCGCCCCCGTTTACCGAGAGCCTTACTTTTAACGGTCTTTGGTCTCAGCGCCCGGCCCGGTGGTTCGGCCGCTGCTACAGAGGTGTGCGCAGCCAGGCTAGAAGGCAGAAAGTGGGTCAGAATTGTCGGACCTGTATTCACCCAGCTGCTGCAGTGACAAGGGACAAGCCCGGTTCCGTCCGCTTTTCGCAGCCGGGCCGGGTTGGTGCTTTTCGGTTGTCCTGCTTAAAACCGTGACTACTCCAGCCCTGTGGAGGGGCGGGGCTGGACTGAGATGACCCCGCTGTCAGAACCGAGCTGCACGAAGTTCAGTGGGTCGATGAGCGCAGGTCCCGAGCGGAACACCTGCCGGCAGCCTGTGGTTCTAACTGTGTGTCCCTTTTCGCTACCATGGACGGGGAAAAACAACTCAAACCTGTAACTGTAAATGAATAACCTTGCACAATCTTGCACACGGGCGGGGGGGTGTAATGTATCATGTCTTTTAATGTGATTAATGTATTATATCATTCGATAAAAAATATTAAAAACAGAAGTTTATTTCTCCTGTTGGTGTAGCGTTTGCTGCTTCTTTTTATTAGTTTACACGTTCAGCTCAGGAACGCAGTTATATACCCGAATTACCACGGCCGTCTTGTTCACAGCGAGTTCTTACAACGCTAGGCTTGGAATCGATGATAAAGATGCAGATTTATTCCAATGCAAGTATTTAAAATTACAGTACAGGTGGTGAAGGCAATGCAAATGATGCTGCATAACAGAACGCCGGGAACTCGTTTGTTCCGCTGGTGTTGTTGCAGAGCCGTTTACCTGGTTACCCCACGCTGGACAATGCAAGTTCCAACGCATCCTGATATAAACAAAACACTCAAAACACTGCCGGGGAAACAAAGGTCTGTTATCCATTCACCCGTTCGTTCCTAACCATGTCTGGGATATACTTTTACATCGTCGATTTGTGTAAACAAAAATCAGAAGGAAAAAAATAATAATATAAAGTTTGCAGGTCCACATGTTTAATCCTGAACCTTGTTTTTTTTTAATTCAGTTTCCTTACAGAGAACACGAATTAAAATACTCTAAATCTTTATTTAAAAAAAACACAACTCAAGCAAACCTGCCAAGACTCAGGCCTGGAGTAGATCACACCGATCACTCGCAAGTTTCCGAACCGGGGCTGGAAGTGTGCTTCAAATGGGCAACATGGCGGCAGCAGGCTGGCTGGGGACCAGCGAGGAATTTCGTCTTGGTTACTGGGTTCCTGCCCTGCTCTGACTGGTGGACTGCACACTGTCAGCATTCGCCTGTATAACTGTTTCCCCCTCATCGAGGACTGCAGGAGGACAAGGGCCAGCGTGTCGAGTTTGTGTTGCTTAAAACTCTAGATGTGGACCTGTAAAACTACACAAGAAAGGCTACAACGGCCTTATGCAAACCCTGCTTGTTCAGGTGTTTGGAGAACAGAATCCAAATAAGCTACATGGCCATACAGCTGTGAATACCAGTATCAAATACTGTCCTAGTCTTCTACATGTAAGACTCCTTCAAAACCACTTCCAGAGAATCACAGTCTTTTCTGTAACATGGTGACCAGGACCACAGACCTACAGCAGATCCCACTGATGCACTGTGTTCATTTTCATCAGACTTTTCTGGATTTATATTCTGCACGTTGAAATGTACTACTTAACACTGTCTGCTGACCCAGGCCCTCCGTTTAAAGGCGATCCTGAGAGTCCGCACTCAAGCCCGGTGATGGGAGCGTCATGACAGAACAGCGAGTCATCCATTTGCAATCTGTACTCATAAACATATTGCAATTAAAACTGCCTTCAGCTTCTGCGGCTCGTGGCAGTGGCTGGAGCTCCTGATAGCTCCCCGTCTCGTGCTGTCTGCTGAAAGGGGTTGGGGGGGAATCACACCCCCCGACCTGACAACTGCAGTGTCCGCTGTGCTCCCAGGCAGCCATGCAGCAGCACTGACGCTACACACTAATTTTATGAGAAAGCCAACAGCCTCTCTAATAGAAATGCATCTTGACAGAAGTCACTGAGGATTTATAGCAATATCACACCATGGGAAAACCTGCCCGCTACCAAATACAGACTGTGGTGACTGAGTATCTGAGAAAGATGAGGGAAGG